CCCAAAAATAAATATGTACTATGTGGGCTCGTTTATATGTAGTGTGACGAACGCGATCGATGTCCTTGGTGGGGCGTTCCTCAATGAGAAATAACAAGAAATATTGTGAAAGAGACTGGGCATTGGAAGAGTCGAGCATCGACTGCAAAAAGGCGGAGGAAGTCTTGCGAAACGTCTCCTCTGAACGGGCCCGAACTCGGCCGGACCGAGCTTGTTCCGGGACCAAGCGGCCAATCCATCACAGCGAAGCTTCGATACGACCATCTTTGACATGTCGCAGGCCGCCGCCGCGCAGAACCTATTCACTCTGAGAAGGAGCAAGTCCCGAATCACTGCCTCAGGTGGGTACCCATCTCGACAATCGGTGGGGAAGTAATGACGTCCATTGCTACGGTACCGGAGGTTCTGCTTTTTAGGCTGTCACCGACCATTGTTCCGAGACTCCACTTTTACTACACGGATCGAGCCAGTCGGCGTCTCTCGGCGAACCCATGCAAGCATTTCGGGAGAGACCTCGATACGTACGGGCGCCGGCGCGCGACCCCTCCGGAAACGTTCCTCCTCCCGAGTGCAAGGGAGAGAAAAAAATCACGGACGAGACTGACTGAAGGCTCCCCCCGATATAAATAACGCATCCGGCTCTGGCGACTTCGGGAAGGCTTGACAGCTCGCACGGAGTTCTGCGATGCGCCTAGAGTCCGGGAGAAAATCGCGGAGTTCGGCTGAACGGGGAATTACCCGCGGAAGGATCATAGTCATTCATTATTATCGGCAATACATTCGCGTCCGCATTTTTCTGACCGACGCGACGTACCGTAAGTCTCGTCCACCGACCAATTTGCATTCCTCGGTTGTATCTGCAGGTCAGCAATTTCCCGGTTGCCAGCACCTGCACAATTCTTCGCCGCGGACGTCCTGCTTCACTTCCAGGGGAACTCGAGCAGCAGTCCGATCCGCTGTGTACGATGATGTGAGAATGTTTGAACAAAGGTCTGCAGGAACATGCGGGAGAGAGCTCCATTGTGTCGGATCGGTCCACCTAGCTCAATATCTCTGGAAGCTTCGAGAACATAGCTGGTGCTCGGAATAACTCATAAAAACTGCGGACCACCTTTTTTATCTTCTAGACGAGGTGTGCAATTCGCCAAGCTGAGACCTAATGGGGCCTTCTTCCCGTCCAGATTTTTAGATCACCAGGAGGATCGGAGCGAAATGGACCTGATAGATCGTTCGGAGGCTCTTTAATCACTTCATCGCCTCCTCTGTCGGTCTGCGAAGAGCCAATATCAGTGGATGCTGAATTCTAGATTCGAACGAGTCGGCCAATCTAGATAGCCAACTCCTTCCGAGAATTCTCCGCACATGATCTGTAGGTGATGATAGGTGTTCACTTGAGGGGCCGAACCCATCGGCCGATTTTCACCGAAAAGGGTCTCTCCGGGGAATCAGTTCCGCTCCCAAAATCGGAACCTGGAAGCAAATGGTCCCAGGTGTATCATCGGCGGGATACTGCTCTTCCTTAAGGCGATCTCATCCCAGTGAGATTTCCGTCGGCAGCAGGTATCGAACCACGCTGCCTACCGCTCACGTTGGGTAATTAAAGGAAGGCGGTGGAGTTCAACCCGCGGAAGGCAGGTTCAGGCAAGAGGTGTCGGACGCGCAAGCGGCTCGACTCCCCCTCGCATCGGGGAATCGTCTGCTGGACTGGACTCAAGTATTTCGAAGCTCAGAAGTAGCCTCAGCTTGGGAAGAGGGAGTTGAGATCGTGGCTCATCCCGTATAGGAGAGTGGTCTCCATGAACATGGAAAGGAAGACTTTCTTTGCTTAGATCGGACGACTGTCGTCTCAGGTGGGTCTGTCTAAATCGCGGATGATACCGAACAGCCTTCGTATCCCGAAACGAAGCTTGGAAGGCTCGATAGAGCAGAAGCGAGCGCGAGGATCCCCTCATACCTCGGAACATACGAATTCTTGTTTTTCGACCATTAATTGGCTCGCATGGGTGCTGAGATGAGACCGGAGCCTTCGAAAAAAAAAACATGGCCGCAGAAATCGTCAGAATCCCAGTCGCGAAACAGGACGATGCGCGATGCCGCTGTGACCTCACCTCAAGGCAGCCGGAATGCCGCTGCTAAGTTCATCCAGAAATTGCGGATCCAGAAACGATGCGCGGCTCGAACAAGAATATTTATGCTCATTCGAATCAGATGTACCAAGCCGAGTTATTTAGAGGAACCTTCAATCCCCGAATATTCGACGCATTTTTGCATTGCCGTGATGATGATTCCGATTTCTAATGCAAACCCCAGCCAACGGTGGCACTTCCGCCATAGCATCGGATTAACTCGGAAGGCTCGGCTACCGAACGGAACAATATGATCGTCATTCCCTCATTAGAGCTCTCGTCCTGCACTTCGGGTGAGCGAGTTTAGACTTAATCATTATGGGCGAGGAGAGTCGATTTGGAACTCCAGGAATGTCGATTGATATACCCTGAATAATTGATGCGAACAACGTCGCATCCGGGGATCAGACGCTGGTGCCGCAATGACAATCAATGTTTGTTATGGGAATTATTCACGAGCGTCGTTACGCCGAATACGAGTTCCAATCGTCAATGAGTGGAGTCTTGTTCAGAGGAAACGAGACTCCTGTGTTTAGAAGAAACACAGAGTCCTGAAAGTCGGCGTGCGTGGATTATTAATAAGCAGCTGCTTGCATCGAAAGTCGTACACGTGCAACGCAGACCTGAAGACAGTCGGCTAAACAGTGGGAAGTGCAACTTGAGGTAGCTGGAGTGGGCCACGTGGGTCGATCTCTCGCTCCGAAGGGAGCCTTCATTTCATTAAACACGTAGCGGCCACATATGAATGAATGCAGAACCACTCGAACCGTGGGAATTCGCTCAGCCGAAAGAGCTCCTTTGCGTTCGAATCGAAGTCTCATCAACGATGCCGACTTCACATCCCTTGTTAACCCGAATCTATCAGCGTAATCATCTTTCCAGAGCGTCAATTTTCTGTGGACTCAGCGCAGTCCGGTAGGCTTCCGGGTGGATCCACATTCAACATCAGTTTCAAGCTCAACAGCTGGCGGTAGCATCGGCCATAGGAGGACGCTCATTCCCGCGACGCAGGAACATCGCGCAGATTTTTTTCCATCGAATATCGCGTCGAGATCGGAATCGGAGTCGAGAACACCGATCGTGAGCGAAACTCGGTATTTTCTGCGATCTTCGATACGTTTTCAGTAGCCGGCTCAGAGAATTATTCCCCATGACTCGGGTACGAGCGCCGACCCTGCTCCCCGATACCGAGTTATTCTAAATATTTCGAACCACCTGTGGACGTGCAATGACCGAGCCAGAGATCTGCTCGACTGACTATGTCGAGCTCGCAGAATCCGAATGACTGTCTTCCTCTCTTTGACTCAACCACTTCGGAACCACAGTGTCGTCACAGCAGCCGGCCGCTCGAAACTCTGCCTTTGGAACCTTACGGCTGGGCGCTGTCTACTCCACTTTGCCTTTACGTACCGCCAGCGCCAGCGATGTGGTCATCGGCATCGAACGAGCCGAGCATCTCTCTGGCTCGGGCGAAGACGTGTCCGCAATATTCTGTGCTTTCGCTAGAGCGGTAGATCCGTCGGAGGCACAAGCGCCGAGTAAGACACCGTGGGATCATTGATCGTCCGTTTCGGGATTAGCATCGAACATTCAGCAGTTATGCGAAAATATCGATCGCTTCCGACCACGAGCTTGGGGAACGTGAATCGGAAAAGAACGATCATCTCAAGAAATAGAGCTTAGTTTAGAGATTGACTTCCATGGTCGGAATCGCAATCGGTGCCGAAACCGTTCAAGCTGCGAACTCAGCTCTCGGATTTTTCGTCCATCTTCGGCGAGAGCTCATGCTTTCCGGCAGCAACCACTTGTAGACTATTATCCGAGCGAGGGGAAGCCGAGCATTCTCACGGAAGTCAGACCCGAAATTAGTCATGGGCTCTCTGAGCTCCGGGCGTCGCGCGACGCTACCTTTGATAAATGCAGCGGGGTTTCCCGAAACGTCCGACTCGAGATAGAAATCCGAGCTTGATCTAGGGAGGGGACGTCAGGTGCTTTTCATTTCCCATATCTTCAATCAGTCTTCGATCGATGAGGATAAGCATTTCGTCACCGTCCTTGCGCGGTCTTAGTTGGAGACTACCGATGGACCAAGTAATCGAAACAGCACCGAAAATACTCGAAAGTCCTCCCACAAAGGGTCCTGGTGCCACTTTGTGTCAGCTCAATTGATTTCTTGTTCGATACCGAACAAACGCCCAATCGCGCGCAGTAGACTGAGGTACATCTACCGAGCTACTATCAACAGGTTTGCTGATTCCATGCCGCAGTGCGGTGGCGGTTGTCGATATGGCGTTCGACAGCGCGGAAGGTGGACGCCCGCTTACATTATAATTTCTTTGTCATTTTCGACGCAAGCGCGAAGGCCACGAGGGAGACACTCTTGCCATCGAGAACGTGTCCATACCGAGTTCTCTCTACAGAGAATGTTCGCGGCATCAAGAACGAATGGAGAGTGATTGAAGGCCAAAGGAGTAAAGTTATAGAGTTGTCATCGCAGATAGTACGACACAAAGCAGAGTCAGCGGAAAATACGATCCGTCCAGTCGGAAATCAGAACGTTGCCGTCGGTCACGCGGAATGACCGTGTCTTAGTTCCTATTAGTTTCTGGCCTTATAAAAGACAATCTAATTCGAGCGAGCTTAGGATCTCGAAGCAAAATGACATCAGAATGGATCTGGATTGCTGACTACTCCCATGTCTGACCACCAGCTTGACATGCCGTCTACACCTCTGTTCCCGCATTAGCTCAGAGAGACCGCATCAAGAGAAGCAAGTTATTTTCCATGCATTCTTTTCGGTAAGTCCGGATTCGCTGGAAGGAGCAGAAGTTTTTCGTTTCGGAGAGTTCACCGTTAGTGTTGAAAGAAACCCACCTGTCCGGCGACAGCGAGTTATTCCATGATGTTGTTTCAAAGTGTCGTAAAACGATAACGATAGTCAACAGCGACGACTAGTCTAATCCGATCGCGCCAAACTGTACATGCAACAGTCCGCTCAGAGGAACATCTGGCAGTTTCACTTGATTTATTCAGATTTCTCCTAAACAGCTTAATTCTCTCGCTAGCTAACAACACTCGGCCAGATCAGCCCATCGCCGCCACCGGGAGCACCACCTTAGCCGGTCGACGCGTAGAGCCACGGAACACTTCACTTCTGGGGCCCTTTTACGCTACGACCGACTGTGAGGAATCCATGCCGCCGAGAATGGCGGAGAGGGCCTTTCGGTGAGGGAAGCTCGTCTGAGAAAGAGACAGCGTGGATGTTGCTGCCATCATCACTGCTGCCGTAAGAACGTCTCTCTGCGAATCGTGTTACGTCGATTCGCGCTCTCAAGCCCGCAGAACGGTGAAGATTCGCAGAACATCCGAATCGATCGCGGACTGACTCGAGGGACTTGTAGAGTCGGGACAGCCCTTGAGAATTCGCAGAGGCGAAGGTTGAAAGGAAAAAAAAACAATTGGTCTCAAGGGCTCAAGCTCGGGCAGGATCCCGCGCGTTTCGTCGACGGGAGAATTGTCCGTTTCGGGGAATACTCGTTTACGCCGCGCCCCATGCTCATATTGAAGAACCGAGGTCATCCGCGCATTTATGTTCTGCCTCTCCCCGCTGAAAGTTCTCGAGCTAATGAAGCCGCCCCATCAGATGAGAACCGCGGGCTCGGAGGAGCTCGGATTGTGGGCTCGAGTGGGGGCGAGGTGGTGAAATATCGGGCCAATCATCGATACTTTCATGGCCCCGAACCTCTGAAAGCTTGCGGCTCATTGGAAGGCTCCGTGCTCGAATTGAGAGAAGGTCTGCCATTGCATGTCTTCAGCTTATCTCACTGCGATGAGCTCGGCAGTGACCCTCCCCCTCTCGGAGTCTCGTTCCTGGTCGGAAGTTGAGTTTTTGTTGCATCGCATATAAACCCAGGCGCACGTTTGGCCCCATTGGAAAACAGGAGTTCGACATCTCTATATGTAGGTATATATAAACCTACCGGTTTCAATTCCACTAAAAGGGTGTTTATGAGCAGGATGGTGAACGACCTACTCACCAACGATGTCTCCTCCCGAGATTCGATTGAAAATCTTCGACTCGGTCACACTGCCGTCGCGGTCCCAACTCCATGAATCCTTGATTGGATCATGCTGACGCAGACCCGATCCGTCCCGCTCCTCGATGCGCCTGGATACGGAATTCACATCGTCGATCTCGAGTCTTCGCCGTTGATTCGAGGCAGCCGAACGACTTTCGGAAACTCCTCTCCCCCAAGGCAAGCATTCAGCCAGGATTCCGTTTTAGGACGTGATTCTCCCTGCAGAAGTCTGCGTGTCGTTCGGAGTCCTCGCGGCACATCCCCATCTTCTGCCTCGTAGTGGAGCGGACGACCTGCGGATTGCGAATCGTGCGTTTGCTTACGCAGGAAGCTGGCGGCTCAGCGTGGGAATGGGCCGGAGGTACGAAAGCGAGGTCTCCTGATTGTATGAATCTGTAGCCCCGACGACGGCTCCCATGCATGCGAAACGCGCCGCGATGGGGATTTGCGCGAGCTCCACTCTTGCACTCTCGTATGTACCAACGACTCCGACAGGAGAGGTACGAATTCGGGAGGAGGTTTGTTAGCGGAAGATGTTCTGCCGTCCTTCTTCTAGAGCTATTGTCGAGGCGCCATCACTTTCCACGGGATGACTTATGCAGCCACGTCGTCTGAATAAATGATGGGGATCACAAGCAGTGAAAACCTCGCTGAAAGAGTGAGCTTGTTACGTCTGAGACGATGGACCAGGTAAGCCTCTTACATCGTTCTTCGGTGCCCCAGCGACAGCTCCGCGACAGCTACCCGTGATTGCCACGTGAATCTGCTGAGAAGGTTGAGAGCTGACCCCGAGAAGTGTTCAAATGCTCGACTCTATAGAGGTCGAACCCGCCCATGGAGTCGAGTCGATTCGCTCCTGGCACGGACGCAGCCGCATTCCTGTCTAGCAGGCTCGACGATCGTTGTGCCTCCATCAAGCTCCGAATGCTCCTCGCTTATTTCCCCGTTATATTTGTTGAAAACACATTCTAGACTTCAGCGGGTCGGCGACCCATGCTCATCAGATTCTCAGATTTCCCCCAAGTAAGTATCGAGCTCGGAGAGTCAACCGATTCAACCCTAAACGAAACAGAGGACGATATCGCAGCCATGATGTCACAAAACTTGGCCGGCCGCACGAGGTTCCACCAATCCTCCGATTTCGAGGCGAGGAAGGAAAAAGATCATCGAGTTCCCGGCCTCCACCCGGAAAAACCGTGGACTGAGCACTGCAGCTTCCTCTTAACAGACTCCGGGTATCCTTAATCACGGCACTCGATATTCGTGAAATCGACGTCGCGTTGCACCATGAGCGCGCGACGAGATTTCACGTTCGCGACGGCCAATATATGGACCTCCCGCGGAACGAGAACGTCGATAGAGGTATGGCAGTACGGGAAAAAACCTCTTATTCAATTTCCCGAAATTCTGAGGGATTGTCGCATAGTTCCCGCCCGAAGGGAGCAGTCTCCCGTCATTGCACATTCCATCTGTCCAGGAACAAGGGAGTAATCATCCTCTTTTCGGAGGTTCCCCACATAGCCCTTCAGAAATCATATTGTTATAGATCGGTGCTAATTAGGCGGCTCCTGCTTGAGAATCCCCGGTGGAGCCGCTGATCCTCCGTCGTATAGGAAAGGAGTCGGCGAACGATGAGCATTTCTGAATCTGGAAGGTCTTGGAAAACTCGTTCACATCGCAATTTCGCCGGGGAGCTTCGATCCCGACCACGAGGCGGTCAAGAGGCGCCCCGGGGCAGTTTGTCGACCTTCATCTTCTGCAGGTCCTGCTCAGATCTGGCGATCAGCTCTGATCTAGAAAGGAGATTTGGATCTCTTTTGATCCCGATGGTATCGGAGAGGAGCGACGCCTTTGGGATATGCTAGGCTAGCCCGAGTTACTTTGCGAGTGCCATATGAGTTGCAGCTCCCCCCCCAATGCATAGAAAGGAGCGGGGATGAATTCCCGGCGGATGGCTCGCGTCCCACGGGTCGGAAGATGTGCTCGATTCGTTCGGACACACAGGACGAGGAACCCGACGATCATATGAGATTGTTCCTGTATTTGAAATGTCACAGGGGATATGCGGGAGGGAGAGTCCCCTCGATCCGAATGGCGGAAGGGAATCAAGGGACATGGCTGGACAAGGGCCCCCGCTCGCTGAATCTCCGCATCCTCCATCATAGAAAATAAGAGAATCCCGCCTCGCAGAGGTAAGCGAAGAGGAAGACGAGTGAAGATCCGCTACTGCTTCACTGTCGTGTGAGAATCGTGAAAGAATCTCATTCTGGAATGCGGAAGCCCTTCGGATGCCACGTCACCATGCTGACTAGAGATCAATCGATACATCGTACCGTACGATGCTTGAATACGCATGACGCATGAGTATGCATCCATGGGCCCTTGTCGCATGTGGATGATCACAGAGCCGGAAGGGAAAAATTATTTGCTGTTTTTCATGCTTGCTGTGGAACCTCCGAGCGATCAGCGACACGTTCAGGGTAGGAATATCTACAGAGAGACCTCCACATTCGGGTGAACACAAACATGCTTTATTCGATATATCAATACATAAATCACATGGGTGTTCGGACAAGCGTCGGAATTCGGCTCGGAGACAATAACGGCTTCTGAATAGTTTTAAGCCGGAAACAGTGGACGATTATTCTCGAACTTTTACTGGAAAATATTATACAATGTCTTGCACAGCATCTCAGTATGTCGGAAACACCACCCCAATTTGCTCCCTCAGATTTCTAACATGGAGAACCAATGACCTTCTGGTCGTGCTGAGCATACCTTGCTCGTCGAATACCGCTTGAGACCTCCAAGCACTGGGAATGCTGGTTCCTCCGATTCTCGCCCGTCATGAGATGCATTCGAACTTATAGACATTCATGAATTACACATCGTGGACAGATCCCAAGTTTTTCTGGGTAGCGTCTTTCAGATCAACTGTACCCGACTGACGATTCCGGAATGCCACGGAATCTCAACTCCTCCAGGGGTAGGACAGGGAGACCCAGTTCTCGGAAGCGATCCTCCATATCTTTGGTCCCCGATTTCTGAATCGTAGGCACGCGTTCCCCACACCTGAACATCGTCGGCACTCATAAAGCTCCAGAATGACCCCTCCACACGGAGAACATCCAAACTCCGGAAGTGGGATATTTATATCCGGATCTCAACAAGATATCGATTTTACGACCGCAGGTGAAAGTTCATGCCCAGCGGAGTAAGGAGCTGGGTTCCTCATCGAGGACTCCTATTCCGTTCGAATTGAGCTGAAACTGCTGTGTCGAGGGGTCCGAATCAGTGAGGATACAGCTCCCCCTTCCCCAGAATCTCTCTGTCCGTCAATATTCACTTTCGCGACAAACACACTTTGCGATATTCCTCTCATTGCACAGAAAACGAAATCTTGCGAGGTACTCAAACGAACAGCCACTCCATAACCCTACGAAAACCGAAACGGCATTCGACCTAGTAGATGAGGCGAGCATAGTCTCTCCACGAGAGGTTTTGAATATGTATTTACATCATGTATTTAGGTAAGTGAAGGGGTTTCCACGTGAATCAGTCGAGGCCTGAGCGAACGATCCTGAGACTCTGAAGTGCTTCCGAATCCAGCGAGATCGTACCCGATCTGGAGCTCTTCGAGCTTCAGCTCATCGATCCGATGCCGCAACTCCTTTTCTGTCCTCGACGTCACCGGTAGGCGTAATTTTCAGTTTGGGATCCCGGAAGTCATCCAGTGGAGGAAGCAGACTTCAACTACCAGCTGAAGTCTCGCTTTTCGCTCCTCCGGAATCTTAGTCGTTCCTCGCCTCGGGCTCCGGTGCAGCAGCCTGCTCAGCTGGAACTGCGTGGATTTCCAAGACGTCCGGGCGATTACTTCGTTGCGATGTTCCATAACGGACCCGATGCCAGGATATAACCGGCGACAGATGGTCGTGTTGACCGAATGATGTTGAGGCTGAACCTGAAGCCCTACCCAAATTCGCGAGAATACCCATGCTCAACCGACGGTTACGTATGGGACGATTGGTTTGGAAAAGTCTCGATGAAAGGGGGGCGCTCCTACGGGGTTCGTTCCCTTTGAACTGGGCCATCAGGTCAGTCACAAAGGCCAAGTATTGTTCCTCATTCGTTGCACTCGCGTAGAAATACGCTTCCATTTTCCCTGCGTTCCTATAAGTTGCATTGGGAGATTGGCGGAGAATTTCCTCAATCTTCAAACGAACGCTCTGGCGATACTCAGGTTTCCTCCAATCACCGCGGCTCAGAGGTCCTGGAACTCCCATTGTTCGAAGGATGCTACGAGAGCGTCTCAAAGCACGATCTAGAAGCACGGGTGAATTGTTCCTGGGGCACAAGCGCGCTATTTCGATTCTGGTCGTCGACGGTGACAACAATGTATGACAAGCAAAAGCAAAGAAGTCGGAAGAGCCTGGCAAAATGGCGCTTGTTGATCCGAAGTTTAAGATGACCCACTTTCGGGGCTGTTTGTTACCTTCTCCGGGAGCCACGATCTCTATAACGGGAGATATCTGACGGGAGCAATCACACATCCGAGGTCCCGATGAGGTCGACGCGCTTCGTCCGATAGGGAGGGTTTCATCATAAAAAACCGACCTCTAGGCCCTTGGATCGAAGCAACTCTCCGCACTCTCCAAAGTGACGGAAGTTCTATCAAGATATTTTCAAGTTTTGCCGGTTCGGAAGTGCTTCCTTGCACTGCGACATTGCCGCTCGTTCGAGAATTGGAGCCCTCTGCCACGAACGATGATTCCTCGATATGGGGTTTCTGAATCATCCTCGAATAATTCGATCGTATCCAAATAGATGCAGTCGGCTAGCGAGTCCTATCGCATTACGCAAAGGAGGATATCAGGTCGCTCCAGGCTTGAAATAGGGTAGTGAAACTCGTGCAATACGATGGCTCCTTCCACCCAATCGAGGGATAAATCGAGTCCCATTTTGTGAGTTCGAGGGAAAAATTCAGTCCCATACCATGAGTTCGAGGGATAAATGATGGAGTCCCATTTGATGAGCTCGATCGCCATCAGCCGTCACACGACGATGATTTTGACTGCCGGTGAAATTCAGATCTCAGACAAACCGAGAAATCAGATTCCCTTAATCGGCCGAGCTATCTCATTTGGAAACATATGCTATCAATTGATCTCGGAGATGGAACACCTCCGGGAAACTCACGGGCATCGCTCAGTATCACCATGCTTTGTATGCGGAAATTTCCATACGATGATTTCTAGAAATTAGCCGGCTTCTATCTCCAGTGAAGACACTCCTCTGAACAATCGACAAGTACAAATTTATACCATTCTCCTTATAAACTTCCGCATAAAAATTAATTGGGCAAGCTTAGTGTCGGACGAGTAGAATGTATGCGACCAGCATCGCGAGCACTGCGACCGAGCACGCGAGTCCCAGTTCTGGAATGAAAGCCAGTGGTTTGAGGAAATGCTTGGAGTATAGAAGTATCCTCTTCTTCCTCGGAACCAGGATGATCTCATGAGTCCGAGAGGATGAGTCCCCGAAATGCTGAGAAACGACTAGATTGACGGGTGTCGACTACTTTACAGTTTTTTTTCACTGTTTCGACGAAACCTACTTATTATGTTCGAAGGATCCTTCTGTAACTGTTTCGCGCCCTCGCAGATGATATCTTCGACCATTTCTTCTACTTGAGCGGCATCCCTGGCGTCCTGAATGTCTCCTCGTGGAGCCTTTTCACTGTTCCTCTCTATGTACTCTGGCTTGACTTCAAGTCCTGCAATAAGACCGAAATCTTCCCCCCTTAGCGAAGCCCTGGAGCTTACATCCCATTCCAAGAGTTCGAGTTCCTCATTTTCCGATTTAAAATGAATAAACCGTGGAGACGGATATGCTACTCGCTATGGAATCCACGGACTTCTCACCGAGAATTTCGAGAAATGCTTGGAGACTGTCATTGGGGTCGTCTCCGTGGAAGACGAAGTCGCAGAAGGGCACAGTTGAGGGGCAATGCGATCTCCGGAGGAAAATCCTTTTCGGTAGTTCATGCGTCATCGAGGGATCTCTCTGTTCATCTTCGATGACTAGAAGATCTTCACAGTGCATCCCACATCTGAAACGGGAATCGGCATTCATATCGGAGGCGGAGGAATCCTCCGCTTTTTCCGTGAAAGAAGTCATCGATCAGTCAAAATAGTTGCGCCTTACGAACTTTGCGCATAGATAGGGGTAGGGGGTTCACCTTGATCGAAGATTTCTGACCGCATCTTGCTTGATGGCATTGATGGCTTCTTCGCTCGTAGCTTTCGACTGAACGATGGCTCGCACCTGGAAGCCGCCACGAATCGAGACCGTGGCTCCGCAAGTCGTCAGAGGAATCGCCCCACAAGGCTGCGGTTTGATCTGTGGAGGGCAATGAGGATGCTGCTGAACTCTAGACGCTAGAGTTCTCCTCCCTTCTCGCTGCCGTTACGCCATGCGAGCGACCCGGAAGCTCCGCGAAACGTTCGCCGCTCACCTGTCTGACCGCGAACTGTACTCGGAGTTCTCCTTCGTTCTCTGAGCTAAAGGAGCTCAGCGTTGCCTCGGGTGTAATCTCTTGACCCTCGATTAGTACGTCGCCGCTGCTCACGGCATCTTCGATGAACTTGAGAGTGGATGCGAGCTGTTTTTGGAGACTCTGACCGACAACCTGTGGAACGCGGAGAATATGTTCATGTGAACTAATCCCATAGACCACGAATTTATGTATCGTGGAGTCATGGCAGGACCGTGGATTTCCGAGGGGTTATCTGCTCCAACTCCAGAGACAAGAATGGAAAACATTACCTCGTCGGAAATATGGCCCAAGAAGTGCAGGGGCAGGAAACTCTCCAGAACCGTGAAATTCGTGCAATTCTTGACCTGCTTGGCATCTTGTGGGAATCCGTTCCCACTGAAGTTCGAGCTATCTATCAGGCGAGAGGACAATTTGAAAGAGTTCGGGTCAATGTGAAGCAACACGCGTTGAGGATAATCCTGCAGCTGATGTGTTTTGGCCAACGTTTTATGAACTGATGACAACGCCTGCGGAGAGTTGAGGAAAGCCGGGTAATTACAAGCTTGCGGACATTGGAAATCCGAACCTCAAAAATTCCAGCTTCTCGATATCTCGAAGAATGTGAAGCACCGCATATAAGATCTCCCAGACGTGAGGCACTGGAACCATTGCGACGGACTCACCTGCTTGACAAGAGATTTCTGCTTCTCGAATACGTCCGGTGAGCACAGAGCTACAACTCCCAGCACATCGACACCGCCTGGTAGCATGCGGGAAACTTGTTTTGCGTGCTGAGCGACCCATTGATCCAATTTGTCCGTGGGTTTCTCCAGGGGGGGAGTCAGAGCGACATGCACCAATACTGCTTGTTTCGGTCCAGGCTGGGAGAAAGGGGAGAATATGATTCTCGTCCTGTCACTCAGTGGCTGTCACAGGATTGGGCACACGGATCGATCATTGGTAAACTTGAAAATGAGGTAGGTCGCGATCCCGCATCTCGCAGAGACATTGAGGGCACAATCATGAATTCCTTAACAAGAGCACAGCGTGCGTCGGTCCTCAAGATGAGGCCACGAACTCCCTTATAATTTATGCCGCCAATGATGGAGCAAATATGCGAGTCTTATGCCCGTGAGATTTCCCTGTTACCCAATACGACAGCCGGGGCGAGGCATCTCAATAGCTCGAAGGATCCCTGATTCAAATTCAGCCGAGATCGGAACGATTAACTGAGATGTCACTCTTCGGGGCACGCTTCCGTAGACTTACGATGCCGATGACCACTCCAAGCTTGAGCTCCTTGGGATCGCTTAGCACTGGCAACTTGTGCAAACTGGCCGCGAAGGCTTCATCATAGGCCAGGACTTTCATGCCCGGATGAAGTTCAGTCTAAGTGCCGAGGAATGTTTGCTGATCGTCTCTCTCGATCTCAACCAGCTGTTCGACAACAGCCTCGACTCCACCGCACCACCACGGCCAAGTTGCCTGCTCCTCACCGGGTAGGCATGGACTTGCCCTCGCCCAGTTTACGGTTGCACGCCGTACACTTCGTTCCGTTTCGAGAATGCTCACATACAATGCACGGAGCTTTCGTATGTCAAACTTCTTGCAACAAGGGAACGGGGCCGAGAAAATTTCACAGAAAAACAATCTGTCGACAGGAGAGTGAAAACAATGATGATCATGATCTATTCTGACAGGGAGTAGAAAGCGAGGCGACCATCCAGATATGTATTTCACACTCGGA